CTGAAGTGTATTACTAGATTTGTTTTAAACACTTCTAGATCTTCCCCTTTCTGTCCTAAAAACTTTAGTAGTTTCAGGTTGATTTTCCTTGTTCCCTCTATATTACTCTTTTTCTAATTACTAGATTCTGAATTTAGTATATAAGAGTCTGATAAACTTGACTCTAAACTAGTACTACTTTGATAGGTTTAATACAACCAATTATAATCTAATGTTAATGTGCTTTCTACTATAAAGGTATTTAGTAACATAGACTGTTTAATTTCTTCAACTGTCTAGCCTTCCTAAGTAATAATTTCTGACTAACCTTAGAGGCTTTTAGAGGATCCTAGTAGACTATCTGAATGTTGTGTTTCAATTCTACTATAGTCTTAAAATGTTTGGATTCCTTCCTGTATTGTGTTAACAAGCTCTTCTTCTTTAACTGAAGAACCTGATAGTTCACTTTCTTGATTTTCTTAAACTGTGTCTCCTTAAGTGAAATGTTCTTGTCTCTAAGAGTATTAAGTATTAGAAGTACTTCCTTCTCTCCTGTTACTTTGTTACTCCTCTCTACTAATACTTTGTAATATAATAGTTAGATTGTATTGTGACTGTACCAACCTATTCAGGTATACTTGTAATATTCCTGATTCAACCTATACTTTTTATACTCTACTAGTAAGGTTCTGTATCTTGTTTAAGATTTCCTATAACTTTGTATGAATATTAAAGATATTTAATACCTGTGTATCTAAATCTGATTGTATCTGCTCCAGCTTTTCTCCTTATTATTCTGATTGTATAAGACTATACAAGTATGTGATTTCCTCTTGTATAGTTCTATAATATATGTTTTAACTTTGAGTAGACCTGATTATTCTGTTAAGACCTAAGAATTATTGTATCTAAGTCTTTATCCTTATAATCTAAAGGCTATAATAGGTCCCTAATTTATTTGAATAGAAGTGGCTAGAGTGTAAATCTCTTCTTTAAGCTAATCTTGTACTGTTCCCTAATTAGCTCTTCCTCTTACTCTAAGTATATATAATAAGGAGTGTTCCTACAAGTAGTAAGAATATGAGAATGGTTGAGGGATTAGATAATAGAGGACTGTATAATAATAGGCTTCTGCCTGTACCTAGTACTAGTTATTATATGTGTAATGTTCTAATTTTTTCCTTAATCTAATACAAAGCCACTTTTTATAACTTATTAACTTTGTTTAGTATAATATTACAAAAGTTACTTACTTTTACAATATCTAAATATCCTTGTTCTAGTACAAGTAATACACTGTGTAACAGATTACAATATTGTTGTAATGTGTATAGATAGTTTGAGTATTCTTAGATTTGTTCAATCCAGACTTGTTAGTTAATAGGAGTGTCTACTATATAAGTAACAGTTAATACTACTCTTTCTTACTTGAAAGAGTCTAAGAGAATTTCCCCCTATATTTAAAATAGTATTCCTTTAATACCTCCTAGTATTAACACTTGTTCCTGTGTATAAGCTACTAAGTAATTAAGAACTAGTAGTACTTCTTAATTAATCTTTCTTTTCTTACTACAAAAGAAAGTTACTTGCCTTAACAACTGTTCTAAGTAGTAGAGTAATTTATCTACCCACTTTGAATGTTAATTATTAAGGTTAGTTAATATTATAAAGTAAGTATTAGAGTTAATATACCTGTATACTAGCTTCAGGTTTAAGTTCCCCTTAGTAGACTAGAGCTTTACTAGAATAGTAAAGATTTGTAACTAAGTTGGAGTTTTATTAAAGTGTAAGATATACTTACTTTACTAGCTCTAATTCTTAGAAATAGTAACAGAATAGAGTATAGAGGGTAAGACTTGTAGACTTGTAGAGTGAGAGGGTAAAGGAGTCCTACTTTATTCAAGCTACAAGTATAGCCTAGTAGGTTAGTAGTAGAGTACTTTCAAGTACTAGGTAACTTAAGTTAATAAAACTATCTTTTAAGGGCCAAACTGGCCTCCTTATATACTTTTTACTAGAGTAATGTTACTCTAGTAACTTTAGTAACTCCCTTTACTATTGTTCCTATAAAGTAGAGCTGGCTAATCCTTTAGACTGTATACTATACTAGTTTGTGTCTTTTATTAATCTGCTAACACTAGTTTGTGTCTTCTTATATTCTAGATTAATCTTCTAATGACTCCTTTACTATATTATTATGTTTTCTATACTTTCTCTCATACTTCTAATAACTCCTTATGAGTCCTCCTAACTAGTTATACTGTGTAAGCTGTATAATACTTTTCTCATAAAGTAGAGCTCTCTATTGTTCTTATAACTCTGTCTGACTCAACCTATACTTCCTGTACATTTGTTTATAATACACTTTCTTATAAGGTAGAGTATTATGACTTCTAATAACTCTTTATAACTTCTGTAATATAAAAGGCTGTACTTCTGTACTACCCCTAAAACTTACAACCAAAGTTCTAGACTGTCTTGTGTACACTCTAGAACTAACAACCAATATTCTAAATCTTTTCCTAAGTCTTCTTTAATAGACTTAGTTTAGGAGACAATTATCCTTATTAACTTCTAGCCTTATCTTTATACTTCTGTATTTAATTATAGAACTTACAACTAAAGTTCTAGATTGTCTCATGTATTCCTTATGTTGTTCTTATATAGTCCTCATGTTTATAACTTTATTACTTTCCTATCTATATAGGTAAAGTGTATAAAGGAGGTTACTTTCCTATAGTCTCTCCTTAGAGCTCTTAGTTCCCTTTCCTTTACTAGTACTAGTCCTCCTCAAGTATAAAGCTTTAGAGTATTAGCTCTAACTCTTTACTAGCTTTAATAGTCCTTTGTCTTTGTACAAAGTGTTTCTAGCTAGCTATATAGTTTAGTAAGTATAATATTTTCCTTTTATCTCTTTAGGTTTTCTCCTAGTCTTTTCCTTTATACTTCTTACTCTAAACACTATACTCTTTCCAGATCCCCTCTCTATACAAGCATTCTAAATAACTTGTCTTTAGTTAAGGTTATTAAGTAATACTGTGTTAGAGTATGTGTTTAACCTTAGAGAGATAAAGACCTTGTCCTTAGGTTTTGTTACCTTTTCCTAACTAACTTAGTACCTACTCCTTCCTGTCCCCTCTCTCTACTAATAGATTAATTACTCATTAGTAATAATTAGAGGTTAATAATGCTGAGCTAGAGTTCTTACTAAGTAGGACAATAAAGGTAGCCTAGTTGATCTGGCTAATCTCTAGACTTGTAACTAATAGAGTTTTGTATATAAACTACTTAGTCCCAAGTCTTGAGTTAAGCTTTTCCAAACTTAGTTACTGTATTTTACAATTCCTAACATAAACACTAGTACAACACATCTTATTCACTATCTTGTGCCTACAAATTTCCTCTAAGTCTAAAAAATCATGTGATTTCTTACATTACATCATGTTGCTCAAAATCAAAAAGTCTTATTATTTATACAAACAGGTGTAACATTGTTTGCCAAATGCTAGTCAACAACTTTGCTCTACTATAGAATAGAATAGTTAGTGACTCTTTCAGACTCTGTTGATCCTAGTGGGAACAATAACTAATCCATAATATTCTTATGCTTGAAAGAGTCAATTTTACCTTGTTCAGAGGTACTAGTATATCTGGTATTGATCTTATCACAACTTGCTCCTGATCTGCTGAGACAAACAAGTAATTACTTTGATAGTACTCCACAGTACCTCTGGCCTGTATAATCTTGATTCTCAAGCAATCCTGTGTCCTTGAAACTTGCCTCATTAAGAAGACAGGAAACAACTTTGTATTAGATGCCTGATAGACAAAATGTATTCTATCAATTGACAGAAGACCAAGACCAAAAGGTTCCAGGCTGGCTTGAATCAAGTTGTTGAACCATTGATGACATGGAAGTCTCCTTGACCGTGGACATTACGTGCTAGCAAGACAATGATCTTGCACTCAGTATTAGCTTGATGTTCCATAGAGTTGATCTATTATCCAGTCCTATCCAGTCTACATGTTTGCTATTAGTTCTTGCTCTATTATGTGTGCGTAAAACATCAACGAAGACTCGAGATAACTAACCCCTTTGGCTTGGTCGTCTCTAATCACGTTTCAGCTACACGGGGAATGAATGCTGCGCTCCACAAAATTATTTAATAAATAGAATCGGATGTAAGTAAAGCCAGTAATCTGCAGCTTGCCTCTTTGCCAAGTATTGCATAGCATTCTAAACGCTGCGGGCAGTGCTCGGTGTTAGTTCAGAGTTATCCCCTGCCGACGAGTCAACAACAATGTATCAGATGTATAGCAGGAGGCAAGGTCAATGCTTTGAGACATTGGCATTCATAGTGCAAGCTCTACGGTTCCTCAGATCTATACCTTGGCTTCATCAAGGTCAAGCCTTTCTATGAGATGCGTTGCCTCATAGATCACGAAATGCAAAAATCAGCCTCGAAGAAATTCGAGAAGGTTTGAGGCGGCGTCGGTTGTCAGGATACCAATCCGGTGCATGCCTCACAACGATTTGGATTCTCCGTCGTTGCGTTTTGCTCTTTGTACTGCGGGCAAAGCCAAACTGGAATATACAGAGCGGCCGTCAGATGGAATATATCCGTATAGTTGATATTGCTAGGAATATTGAGTGGAATATTTGTACTGATGAACGGAAGCAAACGATATCAATATGCGTGCCGACAAATATCGCTGGGCAACTTCGGTTATTTGTCAACTCTAATTAGAGTATATGATATGCTTGGCACTTCTATGAGTACGATATGACGTCTGCAAACGGGGGTTGAACGTGCGCAGGCGAGAGGAGCAAGTCGGGCTCCGAATGGACAGGCACATACAAGTCGAACCGGGACTACGGCCGGCTGCGGGGCAGGGGCAGATCCGCGAGCCGGGAGAGATGCTGCAAAAGGGAAAAGCAGTATTTATAAGTTTGCGATTAGCGGTTAGTCCGCATCTTGCTCTTGTCTTCGTCCCTTCTCTCTCCCCTCCACTCCGTCCACCCCAATCGGCCATCATCCACGACGGCGACGACTACGCACACGAGTACAACCAGCGCGAAACAACACCGCCGAACAATGGCTACCGACGAGCACCGCATCCTTAACTTCGCGGCGGGCTCGAACTATGAGGTTCTTGAGCTCATCGGTGCGTCTCTTGCTTGCTTGTCAAGCCGTACTCTGAAATAAAATTTCTCCGACGTTGGCGGAACTATACAGGCGAAGGCGCCTACGGAATAGTGTGGTACGATACTATGTTCCATCATCGTTCATCAGCAGCTCATCATTGCGTTCGGTCGTGTGCACTTCTCCGCTAGCTCCGCGATACACATTCCGACCCAGCGAAAAGTCGCAATAAAACGCATCACCCCCTTTGACCATAGCATGTTCTGTCTGCGCACTCTCCGCGAGATCAAACTCCTCCGCCATTTCGACCATGAGAACATCATCTCTATTCTCGACATCCTCCGTCCGCCATCTCTAGCGGAGTTCCGAGAAGTCTACCTCGTGCAGGTTAGTCACGCATCTTCGAAGCGAATAGGGTATAGCTTCACGCTCTAGCGTCCCTAGGAACTCATGGAGACCGATATGCATCGAGTTATCCGAACGCAGGAGCTCAGTGATGATCACTGCCAATACTTTATCTATCAGGTGAGCAATATCACCTCAGACTTCATCACTTCTATACGCGCGATCTTTTCCCTTTTTACGGCTTCTTTGCGCGCGCACTGTGATGCGGCTTGTCCAGCGGGAGCTGGACTAGACGCGAACCTGGTTGGCTGTGGACCTTTCACCTTACCAACTCTGTCTTGTCCCGGCCCGCCTATCTGGATTTTTAACCATCTAAGTTTGCTTCCGTCGGTTTTACGCAAACGCTAACGCGTTCTCTTCCATTAGACGCTGCGTGCCTTGAAGGCTCTCCACTCAGCTGACGTCCTGCATCGCGATCTTAAGCCGAGTAATTTATTATTAAATGCAAATTGCGACTTGAAGGTCCGCCGCTTGTATGCTATTTTTCCGAATCCGCTCGGGATGTGCTCACGTCAATATAGTTATGCGACTTCGGTCTTGCACGCTCGGCCCGACCTCCGCCCAACGTCGATGACACCAGCACGTTTATGACTGAATACGTCGCAACGCGGTAAGCCTTGGCAACGGAACGCATGTAAATCCAATTCTGACGTCTGTCTTCCACTTCGGGGCAAAAATCATAAAGATGGTATCGTGCACCTGAAGTCATGTTGACTTTCAAGGAATACACGAGGGCGATCGATATCTGGAGTGTGGGATGCATTCTCGCGGAGATGCTCAGCGGGAAACCTCTCTTCCCTGGTCGTGACTGTAAGTAAAAGATTTCAATTATGCAGCACCCGGGTATCAACGTTCTTCATCGCGTTTCAAATTCAACAACGACGACATCATGACTGAATTCATCTCTAGATCATCACCAACTCTCACTCATCCTTGATATCCTGGGTACCCCGTCAATCGATGATTTCTACGCCATCTCATCACCACGTTCGCGAGAGTACATCCGTGCCTTGCCCTTCCGCAAGAAGCGTTCACTAATGACGCTCTTCCCGAATGCCAACCCCTTGGCAGTCGATCTCATGGAAAAGTGCCTAACATTCAGTCCAAAAAAGCGTATACAAGTTGACGACGCGCTTAAGCATCCTTACCTCGAGGTTCGTTTCTTCGTTTCCTTTGTAATTTCCCCTATCTTTTAATAACCCTTTTTCCGTGATCGGATCTGATATTGAACTGCTTCGTCATTAATTATAGCCTTACCACGACCCAATGGACGAGCCCACTGCACCACCACTCGACCCTTCGTTCTTCCACTTTGACAATGGCGTGCAACTCTCGAAAGAAGACTTGAAGGAGTTGATCTACGAGGAAGTTATGCGGCCGATGTGATCACACCAGCTCGTGCTCAACAAAATCGATACCAACTATCCATTCGATTCCCTAAGCATCCCCTGCTACTCATCTTACCAGACACTGGTCCAGCATCCTCTAGACCCACCTAAAAACGCGCAACATCACTTCCAAATACCTTGCCGTAATTCGACATATACCAATGACACAGACAACAATCCTGTTCGCGCGATTAATGTTATCCAGCTGACCGGTCGACCGCTCGCTCCATCCCGTTCTGCACAAGAAATTATGTATTTTTCGTTCTTATAGGGCTCCATCCTCGCTCTTGATTTTTCTTTGTTCTTCTGTTCCTTTTCGTCTTATTGTTGGTTCGTTTGATCATGTTAATATTAATGAGAATATGTACGATATACCCTACGTTCAAAGAAGAAAATGTTCCACTTCCCGCTAATAATTTAAATAAATGCTCTGACAAGAATCAAGATTATATTCGTTCCCCATTCCCTACCCATCAACCTGTGCATCTCGTTCACTACTATCTATCCACATACTTATTACCAACCCAACTCGTATCGGACACTGACGTTTGGCCTCTCGAAGCGGATTACTATAGCTGGTGAGTGTGGAGTTAGGAAATATTAATGTTGATTGTATATAGTAAGATGGAAGAGTGGGTTTCTTGTGTTGATTTGAACCAACATAAGCTTTGCATCATTGATTTTATTTACCTTTTACTTTATTTAGAGTCTATTATTTCCTCCTATAAGAGTGACTCTCTTTTTAATAGTTTCCCTTAAGAAGATCTTGTCTTCCTTACTTTTTACTTTCAAAAAGTAAGTACTTATAATTATTTCCTATGTTCTCCTAACTTATAGTTTATTAACTACTTCTACTTCTTTATATTTCCTAATGTACTTCTATCTTATTTCTTTAATAAGAGCTCTTAGTATCCTGTCTGGATTCATAATATTGTTTACATCTTTTTGAGTAAGTTGTAATTACATTTGTTGTTACCTTTTAAGTTGTTGTATAATAGAATTTTCTAGTATAGTACTGTGTTCCTTTATTTTCCTATACTCTTTCTTACAATTAGTATGTTCCTCTTCTAATTATAGTGTTTTTATATAGTATGTACTATTGTCTTCTTTAGATTCTTCTATATTCTAAGTACTTTTTCTCTTTTCCTAAGTTACTATCTTTTATAATTACTTGTTTGTCTTCTTTTTGTTATTAGAGGTTAGTTTTCTATAGTAGGTTTATTGCTTAGTTAAAGTTTTTCCAACCCTTCTCTAATTTCTTTTATACTTGAATCTAAAGCTAGAATACTAAAGTATTCTAAAGACTCTAATTTCCTTTTCATTTAGTCTTTCTACATTTGTTCTTCTTATAAGATTATGTCTCCTATATTCTATTCCTTAACTAGTATTCTTTTACTTATTAGTAAACTATACTCTAGTCTCTTTATTAACTAGTTTTCTAAATGTGGTAGCTTTATTACTATTAAATAATTTATGTAAAAATCCTTGATTAACTTTACTAAATTAGTTAATCCTTTTCTAAATAGTTTCTAAGTATTGTTTATGTTTAGATAGTCTAACTATTTAATTAAATATTAATATTTGTTCCTCCTCTTTCTATTATTTAGTATATTTTCTACTATGTATTTCTCTTCCTTATTAATTAACTCTAAGTCTAAATTAGTATGTACTTGTCTTTCTAAATATTCCTTTTCTCTATAAGGTATTAACAATCCTGAGTAAAAAACTAGATAAATATTTATCCCTTCTAATAGTTTTAATTTGTAATTTACTATCCTTATTTGTTTTTCTATTTTAAATAGTCTTATATACCTATTTACTAACTTTCTAGTTAGTACTACTAGATTTAAGTTTTTACTATCTAGTAAAACTAAATCTCCTTCCTTTAATTCTAGAAGATTTCCTCTATGTTTGTTAGTATATTTTTTCATTTGTTCTTATAATTTCTCTATTACTTTTTTAGTATTTACTTATACTATCTTTATCTTCTTTAAGTATTTGTTTACTTTTTTTACATTTGACTTTCTATAGTTAAAAGTTATGTTAGAATACCTTCTATATATTAGGTAAAAAGGTATATGTTTAGTAGTAGAATACTACTTATTATTATAAACAAATTCTACTATTAGGATAAACTCTTCCTAGTCTTCTTATTTATAGTTAATATAATACTTTAGATACTGTTTTAATTCCTAATTTACTCTCTCTGTTTGTCTATCTGTTTCTAAATAGTAAGTAGTTAATAATACTTGTTTAATACTTAGTTATATACATATTTGCTTAGTAAAATTACTAGCAAATTGTAGTCCTCTATTTGTAGTTATTTTTAAAGGTAATTCATGTTTTAAGAAAACATATTGTATAAATAACTTTACTGTTTCTTTAGAATCTATTTCCTTTTTATAAGGAATAAAGATTCCTATCTTTAAAAATTAGTCTACAATTATTAGTACTATATCTTTACTAGTTTGTGTAATTAGTAGTCCTGTTATAAAATCTGTTATAACATGTTTCTAGAGTACTGTTAGAATTTTTAATAATTATAATAGTAGTTATGTTTTTCCTCTCTTGTGTTTTGTCTTTTAACATATTATACAAGTATTTATATATTCTTTTATTTAGTTAACTATTCCTAACTAATAATATGTTCTCTTTACTAATTCTAAAGTCTTTCTAAGTCCTAAATGTCTAACTATAATACTATTATAATATTGTTAAACAATTCTGACTTTTTCTTTCTGTTTACCTTCTTTTAGTAACAGTATTTTATTACTATAATTAGTTTCTAAGTCTGTTTCTATAGTTTCTTCTACTATTATTGTTTTAATATGTATTTCTAACTCTTTAAACATTTCCTAAGAGAGTAATACAACTTTCTGATTGTCCTTTTCTTCTAGCTTATAGTCAAGTCTTTTAGAGAGTGTATTTACTTTATTTTTCTTACTTACTCTGTATTCTATTTTAAAGTTGTATTTACTTAGTTCTAGTATTTATCTTACTTGTCTTTTGTTTAACTACTTTTTGTTTTAAAAGGTTTTCAAATTAGATTAGTTAGTTATTATTCTAATTTAATACTTAGCTTCTTCTAAATAATATCTCTAATTTACTAATACTTTTATAATAGTATATAGTTTCTTATCTAGTACTGTATAATTTCTTTCCTGTTTACTAAAAGTTAAAGAATAATAAGTTATAGAATGTAATTCTTTATCTTCCTATTCTTATAATAGTATTACTAAGTATACAAAATCTAATACATTAGTTTCTACTATAAACTGCTTTTTATAGTTTAGTCTTACTAATACTAGTACTTTAACAAATGCTTCTTTTATAGTTTTAAAAGAGGCTTTTTAAGTGTCTCCTTATATAAAAGTTCTCTTCTATAATAATAAACTTAATAATAGTTTTACCTTTCTAGAATAGTTTTCTACAAATTTTTTATAGAAATTAAAGAATCCTAGTATTTTCCTAATATCTCTCTTTGTTAAAAGTCTAAACTATTCTAATATAGTTTTTATCTTATAAAGATCTACTTTTAGTCTATCTTAATTAACTATAAAACCTAAGTAGTCTAATTCTTATTTATTAAAGAAGTACTTTTCTAATTTATAATAAAAGTCTACTTTCTTTAATAATTGTAGTACCCTTTTAGTTAGCTCTAATAACTCTTTTTGTGTTTAAGTATAAATAATAATATTATCTAAATATATTACTATCCCTTTACTTATTAATTCTTTAAAGAGTTGATTTATAACTCTCTAAAATACTACTAATACATTTATTATTCTAAATTGTATTACTAGTAGTTTATACAATCCTTTATGTGTTCTAAAGGCTTGTAAGTATTCTTGTCCTTACTTTATTCTAATATTATTATATTTACTTTTAAAGTTAAGAGTTATAAACTATTTTACTTTCTTTAAGTAATCTAATAATGTGTGTATTATAAGTATAAGAAATGAATCAGATTCTACTATCTGATTTAATTTCCTATAGTTTATAACTATTCTTACTCTTAAATCCTTTTTACTTATAAAGAATACTAGTAAGACAATTTTAGAATAACTTTCTCTAATGTATTCTTTCTTTAGATTTTCCTATATAAATTCCTTTACTACTTCTTATTCTATAAAAGTTAGAGAATATACTAAACACATTTTAAATAATTCTGCTCCTTTCTTTAATTTAATATTTATGTCTTATTTAAAATACTTTAACAATCTATCTACTTTATTTTTATTAAACCTGTCTAAGTAATTCTATAATTCCTTTAGTACTAATTTCTTTTTATCTCTTTCTAAACTTATTCCTAATCTGTTTAGTACTTTTACCTTTTCTTATAAAGCTTTCTATACTATACTAGAGACCTTGTTTAACTGTTTTCTAAGCTTCTGTTCTTTACTAGTTTAATAAGATAGTTTTTATTAAAGTACTCTTAACTTCTTTTACTTGTTAGTTTCTATTAACTAATAAGATACTAGATTTTATCCTCTTTATAAACAGTTTTAGAGTTTCTAACCTTCTTTTCTTTATAAGTAAAAGTGTACTTTTTATACTTTCTCCCCTTTTCCTTTTAATATATTTATTATATAATATAATATTTTGTATTTTCCTTTTTACATTTTATATTTACTTTTCTCCTAGTCTTGTTTTATATATTATGTTTAAGTCTACAAATTTCTTGTCTACTCTAAAGGTAACTATTCTTACTTTATACTTAGAAAGAGTAGGTTCCTAGTATTAAAGTATTTTTAGTAACATTACTTATTCTTTAAAAATAGTTATTTTGTTTAATAAAGTAGTTATTTCTTTATTAGTATTTATATCTTTGTTTAATAAATATAATTTTATACTAGATTCTGATTGTATATTTAGTATAGTTTCTAAAAGGCTCTATTACAATTTCTATATTGTTAAACTTTTAATAAGTATTATAAGTGTTAATACTAGAATAAGAGTTATAAAAGTTTTTCCTTTATTATATCTTTCTTTGTTTAAAAACTAAAGACTTTCTAATCTACTACTATCTGATTCTGAATCTGATAGTATAAATAGTTTGTAGAATAACTTCTTTATTTTAGTTTTCTTTATACTTTTAATTTAAGAGTGTTCTTTTACATTTTTCTCTCTGTTTTAGTTTCTTTTCTTTTCTCAACCTTTACTTAGTAGTTTAATCTTTCCTATACTACTTCTGACTTCTCTTATTTAATAATTAAACAAAGGTTTTACTTTATTTAAATAGTCAGATTCTAATAAATACTTATTATTATAAGTGTTTATTATTACAAATTTGAACCATTTATTACTAATTCTAGTATTTAACTATGTTTAAGTATTATACTTTTATCCTCCTTTATTAATTGTACTATTAGTATTTCTAACAATTACCTTAGGTT